TTCATGTGTTGTATCACAGTTTACAGACTACTACAACATACTACTGCAACGTACTGTGACCTACTTTAGTTGTACATACACTGTTAACTTGTGTATTTAGTCTTATAATTACATGTATTTTAGGTACACTCACTTAAAATTTAAAAACTCTAAACTCTCTACAACCTGATTGTCTGTTTGTGTTGTTGTCTGGTCAGTGGCATTGTGGCTAATTTCCCAGATATCAGCAATTAACTTGATGAGTGCAATGTTATCAAAAGCAATAGAAACTATAAGGGAGTAAATTATAAATAAAACCCAAGTTGAGTTACCACTTCACCTCAAAACAGACACTTAATTATTACCCAGACTAATAATATTAAGTTTTTCAGTGTTTGTTGATTTCTTTAACCATCAGGCAACCCTTGCTGTTACTCTCAAGACTGCTCAATCTTACCGAACTAAATGAGGACAGATAAGAGGATGTCTCTTTTTCATTTACTTAATGAGCTGCTGTCACCTACAATCACAGGATCATATGAGAGGCCAATTTGTGCTGAAAAGTAAACCCCACCATGTCACTCGGGGTTATTAGCTTGCTGATAATGAGAGCCTGTAGACAGAGCTGGTATAATGTTCCAGTACTGAAACTTAGTCTCTTCTACATGTGCACGCAAGTGTGTGTGTGTGTGTGTTTGTGTATCTCAGCTTGTTAAAAAAACTGCTAACGAGCTTGCCTCCCTCGCCCACGTGGGCTGAGAAGGTCATAGAGGACAAAAAAACAAAAAACAAACGGCTCACTCCGGATGTTTGCATTTCTTATCTTTGTCTTGATGCCAGGCAATGCCACGAGTATGAAAAGTAACACTTGGCTGATGCCACACAGATAAACAAACATGTGTACAAATAAAAGACGTGAACAAAAGGGATGAATACATGGAACAGATTATTGACTGCCTTAAGGAATGACCAACGTGGATTTCGAGGAGCCAATCTCAGCATTCTTGTACTTCCCAATGGCATATTTTTGGGAGGATTTAAAGGAAGAACTATCAAAGAGGCAAAGTAAGAAGGTGACATCTGATAGTAGTTGTAGCAGCTTGGTTAAAAAGTCCCAGCTTTTTTCTTCTGTCTACAGTTCACTCCCCAGGTCCCTTCTGTCTGACCGACTGCAGGCTTCAAG